AGCTCAAACTTTGTAAAGCTATGTTTGTTGTTTTTATGATGGCAGAGTTTAGTTTTTAGTTTCATTCCATGCCAAGTGGAGCGAAAGTTCCTCATAGGACATATCAGTTTTTGCTGAAACTTTTTGATTTTATACATATATATGAGAAAAGCATGTTTAGAAAATTTCAGATCATTATCTAATGTGACTCTTGTGAAAACACTATTTAAGTAGTAAGCTATTTTGCATGAAGTTCCACTCCACAAGTAAAGATTTTTTTTATTTTTTATTTGTTATTTTTTTTTTATTATTTGTTTTTAACAGCTAATAACTTTTAAACAATTTGGTTTTATACTTCAGCTATTTTAGAATCAATTTCAAAAAAAATTATGATCCAGCTTATTTTGATGAACTATAATTTTTTAATGCAGCTATGTACAAAATCAAAAAAGTTCAGCAAAATCTGAGATGGTCCATGAGAAACCTAATTCTCATGGACCATCTCTTCTGGAATGATCTCTAATTATGGCTAGAAGAAATTTTTTATTGTATTTGATCGAAGAGGGAGTAAAATCCATAGCAAGTCTTTCCCATTGTCTATTATAGGAGTTGAATTAATCTGATAGGAGTTTAACATATTTTTGTTACCAGCATATGCAGTTGTCCTAATGTACCAAGATTGGTGTTTATGATAAGACATCAGTAAAGTGCTTTTGCTGCAATATTTTCTGATCTAGATCAATATGAAATATTGTAGTTTTATCACTTCTTTATTTTGTAAATTTATGTAACTTCTTGGATTCAGGCTGTTCATTTTCTTTTTAAAATCATTTTCTACTATTTTGAATGCTGTGAGAGTATAAATACTGTGAGAATTTAAATGCTGTAAGATTTTAAAATGCTGTGAGATTTTCAATGCTGTGAAATTGTTTGTTGAGAATAAAATAAAGACAAATAAAGGTTTAGTTTATTTAAATGCGAATTAAAGTGTCTGTTAGTATTCTTATAATCTTTTCCCATATATATATATATATATATATATATATATATATATATATATATATATATATATATATATATATATATATATATATATATATATATATATATATATATATATATATATATATATATATTTGTAAGTCGATGTAGCAATACTTCATTAAGAGTCAGGCTATAAGATAGTCAATGTAGCAACACTCCATGCATATTTAAAAAGTATATTTTAATAAAACAACAACAAAAAACACCATTAATTGAAAAAACTTTCTAGTCATTATTATTGTAGTTTTTTTTAAAAAACAATAAAATTTAATGTACTTCCACATTAATTTAATTGCTTTGACATTTCCACGACAATATAATGTAGCTTAATTGTCTAGGTAGCCAAATTGTAGTCAAAAAATACTTTTTTTACATTGAAAGTCTCTTTCAACTACACTATAAGAGTTTATATATATATATATATATATATATATATATATATTTATATATATATATATATATATATATATATATATATATATATATATATATATATATATATATATATATGTATATATATATATATATATATATATATATATATATATATATTAGGGTGCTCTGAAAAAAGTCAAAATCTTTTAGCTCCCTGGATATTCTCTTATTCTTTTCATCATAAAATATAAGAAAAATCATACTTTAAGATTTAGAAACAACAGTAAGCCTTGCCACTACAAAGAAAACGTTTTTCATATTATTTAACATTGAAAATACTACGAAAAAACTGTAACATTGAAAATATAACAAGGTTCCTTTTTTAAAATCTGGTACTTTGTGTCTGTATTTTTCAATAACCTGTAACAATTACTATTTCTGTATTTCATCTTTAGTTAAAGATGAAATACAGAAAGTATTTGCAAAGTCTGTGATAAGTTTCATGGCTTTTTCAGCAAGATCATTAACAATTTTTGCATGACGAATTAACATTGCTGCCTCTTGAAAATCACTACTTGTTTCCCACTGTGCTGGCGGCAAGTGTAACCAGGCAGTTTTAATTTTGAGTAGGTTGAACAGGAGTCAAGATTTCTTGCCAATCAAATGTACTAATTTTGTGGATGAAACCAACTGTCGAAAAACTGGTACTCCTTTATCAAGTGGCATGTCTTTCTTTACTTTGATAAGTTGTCTGGTTATTTGTTTCTTTTCTAGATCTGGCACCAAACTTGAAAAAAGAGAAAAAGTAGCAGTTTCTTTGGTCAGATACCACAGATGCCTGTTCAGTGCTAGAGTGGTCGCTTTACCAACCTCTGGGTCAGTTTTCTTTAACATGTGAAGATCATGGTATAACTGGAGATCATTTGATGGTGCATTGGCTGCAAAAGGGGTGGCTAGCCACGCTTTTACGTAGAAGAGTGCACTAAATATGCAAATATGATGCAGTTTCTCCATTTTATCTTGATCATAATTCAGCTGGTCACCAAAGGCATACATCTTAGCTCTATATATAACAGTTGCCATCCAGAGGGCATGATGGTTTGCACCAGGTTTTAGCCAGTGTATCCCACAAGGAGGCATTTCTCTTAAAAGTATTAGCATGAGTTCTGCACATTCTCTGTAATCATCACGAGGCAAGCTGTTGCCATCAGCTGAAGTCAACTTTTGTCGCAAAAAATTAACAACTTTGTCTTTCTGCTGTTTAAGACACCAATCAGTGGTATGTAAAATTTTAAATTTTGATCGATCTTCAATGGTTTTCCAAAATTTCTTAAATTCTTTGAACTCAGGAGTGTCAGGACTGGATGTCAGACCGAAAATCTTCTGCCAGGCAGAACATAAAATTCTTTCCATTACATGATGTTGACAAGCAAAATAGTGGTATCAAAATGTGGTATCAAAAACTAATCCAACAATTGACTGTTCTACCTTCCACCAAACCAAAAGAGAATGGCTGGTATTAGCCATAGTTGCACCAGTTCCATCAGAGATTACTGGAACCTCAAGTAGTTTACTTTCTTTACAGTTTGAAATCCCAGCTATAAAAATACCTAGCCGTTCAGCATCCTCTGGAACAATTTTTCCATCTTAATGTAATGTAACATACTTTGGCGAAGCAAATGTAGTTTCAATTTCATCCCCATATTTTGTTCGAAGTTTTAAGACCGCTGTTCTGCTGCTTGTTTTTGATAAAGTCACACACTGCAAATCAGCACCACCCTCTGAAATTATAGCTGCCATGAAAGCTGTTCTTTTACCAGCTGATAAATTTAAGTGATCTGCCATTGCTGAGATTTTTTCACTTTTGAATGGATTGCGCGGAAGAGCCAGTGTAATTACTCTGTTTTTATCAGGTTGGATATTTTTTGGTTTTGTAGCAGATTTATGTGGGTTTTCAAAATCTTCATCTTCAGAATTGTCTGAACTGCTTGTAACTGTGGCACTAGAGTCATCTGCAGATTGCAAGTCTACTTCAGGACGTATAGTTTCAGGTTTTGTGCTTGTTGTTGCTGAAAGGCTTTGTCTTCTTTTTTCTTCAACCATTCCTCTTGTCATTTCAATTCTCTCTTTATTTTCTGTGTAATTTTCCTTTTGTATACTCGGTTTTCTGATTCCAAAATAAATCGCTTCTGATCTCTAACTGCCATAAGAAATTCAATATCTTCTTTTTTCTGCTCACTATCACGAAGTCGATCAGTTTCTATTTTGTTTTGACCATCTTGGTGAGCAATATAAAAATAATTTTTCAGATCATCAACAAACTGTTTTTCTTTAGCTTCATTAGATTGACATCCTTTCTTCTTTTGAAGTGTTTTATAAGCATCATACAAATCCAAAAATTTTTCTTTAACCTTGTCTTTGCGTTGAACTGCAATTCCAGCTTTATCCCATTGAGTTTGACTTTCTGCAATAACCGTGTTTACTATAGCACCATTAAAGTTGACATGTTTAGCATGTTTCATGGGTCCATCTTTTATAAAGGAAAAGAAACGCAGGACATCTCCCTTTGATGGAATTCTTGATGGTTACAATTGAGTTAATGGTTTTCTTAATAACCAGATGTCAATGTCTTTTTGTAAAACCGGTCTATCCATAATTGGGTTAAAGCAATGAGTAGCGTCCAAGTAAAAAAGTGCAATACTTAAAATTTAGTTTCATCAAATATCTTTGTTAATCTTTGATAATTTACCTTAAAATAAAAATAAATAATAGAATAAAAGAGATTTTAAGAAAGATATTATAAATATAGATAATTAAAGGATAATATACATATTAAAATATTATTTAATTATCAATTAAAAATTATTATTTATATGCTTTATTTATAAATTGTTTATTTATTAATTTATATTTATATTTATATTATAATTATTTTGTATCATTTATGTAATAATTGCCAAAAATTTGTGTCAAATTTACATAACGTACGTAATATTTACGTAAAAAAAATATTAAAAATATTAATTTTTTGGGAGCTGTTGGTTGCTTAAACACTATTAAATTGCTTGAAATTTGTTTACTTATTCTAAAATAGGTAAAGGAATGAAAAAATCAACAGGGAGCAAGATTTTGAGAAAATTTTTTTTTCACTATACATTTCTAGAGCACCCTAATATATATATATATATATATATATATATATATATATATATATATATATATATATATATATATATATATATATATATATATATATATATATATATATATATTGCTGTAGATCAAGACTAATAAACAATGTATGTTAGTAATAAGATAATTATTGTATCTTTATGTAAACATAATTTTATATAGTTTCTATAACATAACTAAAAAATAACTTAAGGTTAACTCAAAAATATAAACTTTACAATTATTTTCAAACTTAATAACTTAAATTAACTACAAATAAAGGTAAATTTTATTTTAACCTAAGTTAGTCATTTATTTTTAACTATTAATTTCTTTATTTTTTTATTATTTTGGTAATAATAAATTTTTATTATACATTTTATTTTACATCATTTTGTAATTAATTGTTTATTAATAATTTTACTTTCATATTCTAGCACTAGATTTTTAATATCAAAAATAAATAAACTCAAAAATAACTGAGCAGGAAATGCTGGTTTATGTGCTTATCTTAGCAACATTATGCCACATTTCAGAAAATATCAAGTACAATAATAAATGGAAAAGTTTTTCATATGCTAAAAAGGGAGGGAAATGTTATAAAGGCGAAGAAACTACATTAATTGTGCATGAAAATGGACCGGGTGTGATTACAGAGCAATGGTTTGCTGGTGATGATTGTTTGTCAGCTGACTCTACAATAAGGTAAAACTAGTACTAGTTATATATATATATATATATATATATATATATATATATATATATATATATATATATATATATATATATATATATATATATTTATATATATATATATATATATATATATATATATATATATATATATATATATGTATATATATATATATATATATATATATATATATATATGTATATATATATATATATATACATATATATACATATATATGTTTTTAAACAAAAAATGAAAAAAAGGTAATATTCACAACATTTTAATAATAAGTTTTTTTAAGTTGTTTTTTATAAAAAATGAATCTAATTTTTAAAATTTTTATAAAATTTTGCTTCTTTTGAGTACCAAGTTGACATATTTTTAAAAAATTTTTATTTAACAATATTAGGGACCTGTCAAATATTTGGGGGCTTTGAGGGACCTTTAGGGTAAATAAAAAAAATTTAGTAAAAAATATTTTTGAACCACAATATGATAGATGAATGGGAAAAACTTCAATTAGCTATGTTCTGAAAACAAACTAGCATACTGAACAGCCCTAATATAAATACATATATGTATGTATATATATATATATATATATATATATATATATATATATATATATATATATATATATATATATATATATATATATATATATATATATATATATATATATATATATATATATACGAAATGTAAAAATATTTATTACAAAAAAGAAGTTACATTAAAAATAATTGTAGTAACTTTTCATCAAGATATATCTTACCTTTTTATAACATTTAATTTTATTAATACAGAATATAAATGTTTTTTGTAATATATTCCAAATTTATTAATACAGAATATGTTTTTTGTAATATAGATTTTTTAAGAGTTTTTTACAAAATTCATATTAAATAACATTTGCAAAAAAATTGTAGTTAAGGGTTGACATTTTTTTTAATATCTCAAAAAATGTCTTAATATTTTTGTTACCATGATAACAAAAGTATCAAGACATTTTTTCAAGATATTAAAAAAATGTGCCTATGAATGAACAATTTGTACTAAAAATTACTTCATTAATTATTACTCTTTGCTTTTCTTATTAGTTAAAGGTACCTTAACCTTTAAGTTATGCAGGGGAAGGGAGCCAGCACAGAAAAAAAAAATTACCTGTTACTTGCAATTTTTGAATGAAGATAATTTGTTAAATTTCTTCTGCGTGTGATTCAATAAGTTTTTTTTTTCATTAATCAAGTTATATTATAAGGTAAAGAAATCATGAGTAGACTATAACATCAGCTGATGACACTAAGGGGTCGTCCATAAAGTATGTCACGCTATTTTTTTCAATTTTCAACCCCCTCCCCCCCTCCTGTCACAAACTGTCACATATTTCTGCACCCCCCCCCCCCCTAAAAAAGTATGTCACATGTTTCTCCCCCCCCCCCCCCCCCTCCCTCTAAAAAAAAAAACAAACCATTACGGAATTTTCAACATTCTAAAAACATAGTAATAGCTATTTAACAGAATAAAAAAGACTCAATTTAACTAATTTGAAATACCTTCTTAATTTATTGGGAAAGATTGTCATCATAAAATAAAATAAAAATATTTTTTTTATTTGAACCTTATGTTTTTCAAATTACAAATTAAACTTTCACTTTATCTACCCATTTATTATTATCCATCCACGGAGATTTGAAGTGTTTATATGTCTATAGTTAGGACAGGCATTTCTGATGTTTTTTCTAAATCTTCATCTGGAATGACAGTTCCCGAAACATAAACTTCGTCTTCATCCAGCCACTCTATATTTTCATTTTTTTCTCGAGCAATAACTACCATCAGCTCTCTTTGTCTTCTAGCGGCTACTCTTATTGGTCTGATACGCTTTGTTTGAGTTTTCTCAAGAACAGTATTTCCTTTATCGCAATTTTTGTGCAATTCAACATGTTTTTTCAAAATAGCTTGAGAAGCAAAATAGAGATGGCAAACTTTGCATATTCGATTCAATAGACAATTCTGTACTGATGGACAAAAGAGATCATAAGGATGAACTTGTAAACTTCCTGCCGATCTGGCCATTATATCATCTATTTTAATACTATGTGAAACAAAAAGTGATGGATACTTATGAGACTCACTGTCTCCTCTTTTGTCAGCTTGAAGACCATTAAGACCTTGAAGACCATTATCTCTCAAAGTTTAAACCATGAGCAAGAGCAGAAGAAGACGAATGTTTGCCTGATCGGATTGCAATATAAGTTGGACCTGAATACGTAACAGCGTCTGGTTTACTAAGTCCATCTTTCTTGATGCAAATTCCAGCATATACTGATGGAATAAGCTTATGTCTTGCTGCAACAACCCAATCGTGGTCTGGCAAATTGATGCGATATTCAACATGCATAAGCAATGGAGCTTGTTTGATTGCAGCTGTTAACCCAATAGGGACTCGCGCTTTGTCATCTTGGCTAATAAAACAGACTTCTTTTGGTCCCAGTATAGACGACAACTCTTCCAGGTGTCTCAAGGTTGCTGTACAGAATTTTCCATCGATGTGCTTTGAGTGTGACTCATTCTGAGATCGGATCAATTTGACTGGCACTGTTGATATGTGTCTTTTTCCTTCCAAAGTTGAACTTCGTCGTGGCATTAGCCGAGTGTAAACGGTGCTCCTACTCACCTGATAACCATCTTTATTTAGTTGCTTAGTCAATTCATCTAGTGTTTTAATACTGCGATACATATCACTTTGTCCTCTTTCATGTGCAGCTGATCCATGTAAAGCAATATCAACAATGGCTTTCAGGAAAAGTGGTTGATTAATTTTAACAGAAGGTCGACCTGTTTTATCTTTTGCTTTCAAAGCATCACAAACTCCAGGGTTCTCTGCGCAAATTTTAGCGAGAGTTTCTCTTTTTTTTGCTCTAGTTTTTTTCTGTCTTGCTTGTTCTTTCTTTTTTTTTAACAAACTTTTCTCCAACATATCTACTTTTCTTCTTTTCTCAATAAGCTCTGCTTCTTGATCATTCGTAATAATACCACTGTCTTTTCTTTTATGTAGTCCAACTAAATCACTCTTGATAACATCAATTTTAACTTTTAGTTCATATTGAACTTTTGTTTTATATTTTCCTACATTTTCAGAACCAGACGTTGATGAAGTTATCATAGAACATTCACAAGATGAAGCTTTACATTTATTACCCCCTACAACAGTATCTGGTAATTTTGCTAGAACATCCGGAGCCGATAATTTACGTGGTATAGTTTTCGCATCATCATGTCGTAATGATTGATTTGCCCAGAAACTCATCAGTGTACCTTTTTTCTTTTTAAACAGAGCATCATATTCTCTTAACAGGGAGTCTACTTTTGCAGAAAGATTATCTTCAGATTTCACCTTACTCCAAATATCATTAACTTCCTTTTGACAATCTTGTTTCCTCTTCTGTGAATATGCCTTAACATAGGCATTATAAAGTGATGCGTATAACTGTCCTTTGTCCATCTTTATATTATGAATTGCCTGAAACACATTTGCACTCATTTAGAGAAATTAAAAATATTGTATTTATGCCATAATATCAATTACTACTAACTTAGTTATACTGAGCGCTAACTAGCTTCTATCCTATTTACACTATTAATTGATAATAATCTTTGTTTGCTATTGGCTATTCAAAGCATGAGCAAGTCTATTTAACTTAGTTATTATATATTATATATTTAAGTAGTCATATATTCTTGCTTAAATGTAAATATAACTAAAACTCTTATGTTTATATAATGCCATAAGATTCAAAAAAATAAATAATATAAAAGATAATATTTTAAAGATGTTTTATTTACTTATTTAAACTCTCTATTTAAAATTCCAAACTTAAATTATACGTTCTTAATTTAATGATTTTGCATTGCTGCGCTTTAATGTCTTCAGAAACGTGAAGGCAGTCTTTGCGAACTTTTTAAACTATTCAAAACTATTTAAAATACGGCGATACGCAAAACATAAGAAGTGTAAGTAAAATTTTAGGCAATCGGAAATACTCCTTTAATTGAATGAGTAAATAAGTAGAAAATAATCATGATAAATAATTTTTGTGATGTCACATTCGTCAAACTCCCCCTTCCCCCCTTGTCACAAATTGTCACAAACTTATGCCTCCCCCCCCCCTAGTAGCGTGACGTACTTTATGGATGACCCCTAATATTATGTTGTATATATTTATATAACGGGGGTTTCATTATGCACGCGCACATTACAGACTTCGTTAAATAAATACCAAGGCAAGTTTTAGTTTAATGACAGTCTCTATTTTTTACTAATGACTGTATTTTTCTGTATAAAATAAGACAAACTAGTATATAAAAACCTAGTATATTTCTATTCTCTCCAAATTGTTTAAAGTTCGAATATGGATTGTATTTTGAAGGACAAAAAATTTACTTTGAGAATTTTTAAATCCTGGGACCGATGCATTTTAAGGGCAGCTGCCCTACGGTTTATAAATGACACAAGTCATGTTAAAATATTTTAACATGTTACTATATTTTATTTAAGTTGGTATACAAATATAAATTAAAATATAGTTCTATAAATAAATTAAATTTGTTCTTATCAAAGATTACCTCATATTTATTCTTTATTTATTTTATTATTCCTAGTTAAATTGCTTACAAACAAAAAAAAAAAAGAGTTTTGTAATTATTCGTAGAATAAAAAGTTAAGGAACTTAATTTTTAATGAAAAAATTTTAACGAATGTTTATTATAAGCAGATACGATACAAATTATTAAATATACTTATATTGTTTTAGTTGAGTATTTTTTTAAGTTTGCATGATTATAGTTTTGCGTAGAAGTATTTGTTTTTTGTTTTCAGAATAATTAACAAAAGAGTTTGCATAATTTATATTTAATTTAATTTTTTTTTAAATCCCTAAAATTCAAAAAAAAAAAGATTTAATTGTTAAAAAAGATTTTTCTCTATAGCTCTGTTTTTTTGTGATTT